ATGATCTGATCTCTACAGAATGAAAACATATTCAATATCCAGAAATCTGAGTAATTAATTAAAATTTATAGTGATTAAGTAACGTCTCTTCAATCCGAAATAATATGGAGATACTTAAGCACTGAAGAGGAGCTAGAAAGTTAATCTAGTTCGAAATGCGTCTGTGAAAAAACAATAAAAGGAGTTTTTTAAACCTAAAATGGCTATGAGGTAGTGTGCTGGAAGATTTTTTTTTTCGGATTGAAAAGACGTTACTTAATCAACATATAAAACAGCTACCATTAGAAAATTCAGAATAAATAATTAATTAAAATATATTTTCATTTATGAAGGCAGCCAATTAAAGAAGTGTTTTTGAATAAGACTGTATGGAATTAAATGTACAGTACATTATCAGAAAGTCGAGACGTACAAGGTGAGTTAAAATTACTGTCAACATTAATCTTATTTGCATCTCTAGGCACTATTAAACATGTTTTTTCAACTTTACTTTAAGTTATATTTATGCATAAGTTAAAAAATTTATATATCAGCACTGTGCAACTTTAAAAGTATTTATTTTATAAAATACTAGCTGTTACCCGCGACTTCGCCCGCGAAGGTTTTGCAAGCAAACCCCATTTATATTCAATATTTCAACAACCATAGTAATTGTTATATAACACTCACCGCTGAGAATAATGAGAATTTCTGAGAATCAAACGAACTGTTTTCAATTTGATCAATTTTCTGAAACGTTTACAATCGTTCTATAATCGAAACAATATGCAATAACAAATTTGAAAATTTAAAACGGTTCGAACATTTGGTTAAAAAATCGAAATATATAAAGATATTTATAACAATGTCTGAAATGTTATCAATTTAAGGGAAAGTATGGAATCAATTTCAAAAGTTGTTCTTCAGGTTAAGCCTTAATGCTCTCCCTCTCCCCCCTCTGGAAAATTTTAAAAAATTCCTTCTTTGTGTGCATTCCCATGGCATACCCGACTAAAACACAGATAAAAACCAAAAATCGCATCTAAAATAGTACAGTAGAAGCCGTTTTTTCGGTTAAGACTTGATGCTCTTCCTCTTCCTCCCGCTGGAGAATTTCGAAAAATCCCTTCTTAGTGAGCGTTTTCATGACGTAACCTAAATGTGTACCAAATTTCACCTCTTTAGGTTCAGCGGTTTGCTCTGGGCGATGATGAATCAGTCATTTAGTCAGTCAGTCAGGACAAGTAATTTTATATATTTAGATTACAAGAAGTATACCTGACTGATGGGTAGTTAAAGCCTGTCATTGAGCTGTCTACGGCTTTAAGAATCCCTGAATCGAAATGGGGCGAATACTCCAAGAATATCTGCAAAGAGCTGGTCTGTCTTAGATAATTCGGGCCCCGTTCTCACCATCCTGCCCAGTGGCGTACCGTGGGTGTCAGCCGCCCGAGGAGGACAAAAATTTCGGCCCCCCTTATTTAGGTATTTCAATTTAAAAGACGAAAATTCAGTTTTGTCACAGAACAAGCAATGAAGTTCCGTGCTAGTGCAGCGACCTGTTTAAAATAGCTCTACTAGTGCAGTATATGAACACGAGTGAATCGTACAAGCAGAAAAAAAAGGTCAACAGGTTTCGCAGGATGTCCTTGGATTAAAACTTACTAGTTCACCTGGACGGCGAGCCGACTCCCGGACTGTCCGGACGATAGACTATCGTAGGTGCGATGCAAGTATACATTGGAATGTTTTAAATTTTTACAAGATATTATTATTATTTATTGTGAAATTTTGCCGTCCTCTAAAAAGTGCCGCTCGAGGCAAGCCGCCCCTGCCGCCCCCACTACGGTATGCCACTGATCCTGCCAAACCTACGAGAGACATGGTTAAAAAGGCCCTAACTTACAACCCAAAGGGCGGTAGGAGCCAAATAAGGAAGTATATTTACATTAATTATGTCTTCGATTTATTCATTATATTAAGAATTTTAAAAAAATCTATTGAAATAATGAATCAATATATAAGAAGTTTATAAAATTTTAAAATTGTTTTACTTTTTACTTTGTTGGAAATCTTCGGAATTAACAATAGTTTTGTCTTCAATAATCGCGAATGTTTTGTTACATGAAACAATATTTTCTCTATTGTTAACAATTTTTATTACTGTAGAAAGCTTTGACATTTATTCGAAAATACATGAAAAAATAAATTGAAAATGTTTTATATTTATTTATTAGAGTATAAGTTTTCCAAACTTTATATGGTTAAACCGGAAACGAGTTGTTCAACTTTCTCCGAAACATTTAAAATTTTTGTGGAGCTGTCTGTTGTCATATTTTATTTTTAAAAACTTTTTATATTTTTAACTATTATAAAACGACAAAAAGTTTAGTTTTGAAAGTACAGATGAGTTTTATAAAAGTAATTGTAAACGCTAATAAAAAAATATGCCCGGTGATCTCTCTTAGAGGTCATTTACCTCAGCCAGGTGATATCTATCGACATCTAATCCTCCGACTTTATTTTCGACAAAGAGTTCGTACTTTTAATTTTTGACTGACCATTTCAAGTACTACCTGACAGAGCTGAGAAGTCATATTTCGTGATGCTCGAAACGTTTCTCATAAAAGTCTCATTTATTAATAATTCATTTATTAAATTTCATCCGAAAATTGCTAACAGTCTGCTGATTGAATAAGTTCTAAAGTTATTTAGAACTTTTGAGAACGTTAATTCTGACTGTATAGTATTTACAGCGATTGCGTTCTGACACGTGGTTCAGTGGCGTCACACACATTAAAACTAAGGCGCTAGATTACCCAGGTATGCTCATACGCTTCCGTCACGTGTGCAGCCATATTGGTCCTTTTGACGTCATATTCCAAGATTTTTAAATTTAGCTGTATTTTATAACTAGTTGAACTAAATTTTGGCAAAGTTTATCATTTCGACCTTGCAAAATCTTAAGATACAGTTGAATTTATGATTATTTTCGTGTCTCTTCTATTGAACTTCTACGAGAGTCGTCAGCTTTCTAAGGACCAACATGGCGGATGAGCATACCTGGGTTATCTAGCGCCTTAAGTAATACAGTCGCTACTTCGTGACGTCAAATAGCTTGTCGAGCTATTTGACGTCACGAAGTAGCGACATCTCGAAGTAAGTAGCGACATCTCGAAGTAACGACATCTCGTGGTAAAACACGAAGTAGCGACATCTCGTGGTGAAAAACAAAACTATGGGAACAGAAATATCTGGTAGTTATGCTATGTAAATGGTTCCAGTTTGAATCTGCGCTATTGTTGAAGTACGATTTCCTGTAAACAAAAGTATTAGTATTTCCCTTGTACATTACTTTAGCGATCAAAAATTCACACTAATACTTACATTAAAAATTCTAACAACGTCTCTAACAACACCGATAGATAAACAAACAAAAATATAATCACAAGTGAAAAGTTACGATGAGGCTCATACCCCAAATTATTCATTAGTCTTTTTTTGTACATTTGAAAAGTGTATTACATTCGATAAAAACTGAAGACCTTGAAAAATTAGAAAATTGATGCAAAAACTGATGCACGTTCAATTTTAGCTGTGGTTTTTAGTAAAACAGAGGATGGCTTTTATAAACTTGATACTAAAACAGGTATTTTAAAACAATTGTATGCAAAATCTGAATTCAGTGTTTGCAAAGAGAGATTTTTAACGAAAGAAGATGGATGTCTCTGCTGTAGAAATATCTTTACGTCAAACAGCAATAAAACAATTCCTTGGTACTTGGCAGGGTTTCAGAAAATGTGACTGCAAATCTAAATGTACCACTAATAGGCGTGCTCGTCGCAAAAACCAATCGCTATGTAATTCATAGTGTCACCAATCTTTAGATTGCACTAATAAGTAAGTACAATTTTATCATATGTTTTGCAAATTCATTTCCCTAATTGTAGTAATATTTTAAACCGTTTGATTTTTGTATTAAAGTTTTTTTAATTGATTGATGATTGATTCAATCAACTAATTTGTTGATTGTTTGATTGTATTAACTTTAGATATTGAAAATTAAATAAATAACATTATGTTAATTTAAGCGTACAGAAAGAAACGTTGCTGTTGTTCCAGCAAAGATCTTATTTTTACATTGCCAAGTGCCTAGTAGGTAATTCGCAGATTACCTAGGTAATTTGAGAAATGGAATAATTTTCGCAGCTTTAACGGATTACCCTAGTTAATCTGCAGACTAGCTAGGTAATGTACACATTAACGGATTTCGAGCTTTAGCGGTAACACATACACTGAATACAATACCACAAATTCCAATGAAGTACAATAATTTTTTCGATGCAAAGTTGTATTCCTTGTACATTAATGGAGTTCAAAGTTAGACTCTGAGTCAGATGTCGTAGTCTTACGTATATTTTATAATATAACGCCCCGATAAAGAATAATATAAAGAATATTTCAGTCGATGCAAATATTATAATTAGTGTTATGTTCACGACACAAAAAAAGATTTCCACAACCGATTTTTCAGTAAAGGCGAAGTATACGAAGATCTCAAAAAATTACGGTTCTGATTGTTATAAAGAATGCCAAATATGAGAATATCAGAAATAAATTTTTGTTCGTCCTCATTTCTTTGACTTCACTTTTAAACACACTCTTTTCGCATGGTAAGTACAATTTTTTGTTATTTAAATAGCTGAATTGAACGCTGTATAATAATAGAAACAATTTCATGACCAATGTAACAGTGTGTTTCTGCTTCGGAAACACGAATGTTCAACTACTACACAAGACATTTTCTTTGACGATGGTGACAGAAAACAGTAACAAATTGAACCACCAAAACTTTTCTATAACGTAGACATAAACTCCAAAAAGTTTGATGATGTAACTTTAAGTATCGACTTGACCATTATCCATATACAGTATCTGAATATCAAACACATTAACAGCTCTAATGAATGGATAAATAAACTTAAGTATTTCTTGATGAAGAAAAACCATCTTCTGCGATTGAATATCGTAAAATATTTATTAATCATAAAAAATTGCTTAATGTATTACTACGACGCACGGTTTTTACGAAATTTAGTTAAAGATTATTATATATTTCTGAACGTGTTACTTGTAATAGATTGAGGTAATCGGAATGAGTCTTAATGTTAATATAAAAGTACAAATGCATAGTACTGTACCTGTACATATAATTTTCATAAAATTACCTGAATACAAAATCAATAAGTCTTTCTGGAATAACAGAATACGGCGTTGACAATTTACATTTCAGAAAGAAAAGTTACATTAATTACCACTTTAAATTAACATTTTGTGTTCTGTAAATCCGATAAATTCATTATCTCATTCACGTACACACATTTTAAGGAAATTTTACAGCGATACAGTAAGAAATAATCACATTCGAATTAACTTTACATTATATTCTCGTTTAGATTTCGCTTTTTTCCACAGAAACTTTTGACTTCAAAAATATAAATCAACCGAAAAATAAATATTATTCACAAGGTTTCTGTCACAGGTTAGAAATTTGTCTTCAAATTTCCTGGCATCTGTTCCTTCGTCGCTCACGAAGTTACTCAGTTCAAATGAAAACTCGATATCGGGTTGGACATATTCAGCGCGGTAAAAGAAAGCAAAGAAACGAATTGACCAATATTTCTTTAGATAAAACTTCGTTTCCAGATCTGCTACTCCCTCTGAATTGCATATGGTATCAAACGAAAACTGCATGTTGTCCAAAGAGTTAATATACCCGTGTACGCATATTCGAAAACATTCGCGAAGCTTCACCGGAAATCGAAGAGCCGTGACGTAACAATCTTCCCACACAGCTACTTGGCTGCTAAAATTTATGTAACCTTCCATCTTTCTGTTTGCGACCATAAAAGGAACTCCACGATTTACGTACGAGAACAAGCTAAAATAATTTATTCCACTTCTGGTTTTTGTTTCTCGACTGAAGTAACTGGGATAAAAAGAATAATTACCAGTCTTAAAAGCATGCCAGATATGAATCTTTTCTAATTCGCTTAACAAGTTCATTGTAAAAACACAAGATTGCAATTCGTATTCTTTCATAGCAAGAAATCTGACTTTTCCAATAAATGGCTGCATAACATTTCTTATTACGTTTATTTTCGATTCTTCATTCATTGAGTGGATGTTCTCTGCACCTAATTTTCTTTGAACTTCTTCTATGCTCCACTGATACACGGCTTCGAGTAAACGCAATTCACTGACAGATTCATATATCGCTCGAGATAGCAGTCTATCAATTGTTGCAATTTTACAGCACATAAAGTCGTCTGTTGCAAATAGTCTTTCTCCGTGATAGTCGAAAGCTTGCCAGCAATAATAAGTTATGGCCAGATCACCGATTTCACGTGCAAAATCGTGGATTGCACAGACATTATGCAGATTTATTTGGCGAATGATAAATGATCTGCATTTCTTTCTTAAATCGTCTAACTCGTATCTTAAACTCAGATGATACAGATCGAATGCGTGTGTAAAAGAGGTCAGTCCGGGATCGTCCGTCTGTACATAACTGTTTAAAAAGTATAAATTATAATGTATTACAAAGTATTGCAATTAAATGAAAGGTAAGTATCGTGAAAAACTTACGTAACGAATTGTCTGATGGTCTCGATTGGAAAAGGCATAAACAGTACTTTCGAATTTTCATCATATGTAAGGAGAAGTTCTAAATTCGTGTTCAGGACTTTCTTTAATTGAGCTCCTGATATAATAATTTCTTCGTTTTCTACGTTTCGGATTCGTATTTCACTCGAAGAAATCCTAAAACAACAAAAAGTTATTTATTATTACTTTCAACAAATATGTCCGTTGTAAGTTAGTTATAAAATTTTTGACCATGGTGTATGAACAATAAATGCATAACTAATAGCTATTTTGACGCGAGATTAACAACTAATTGTTTTTTTATGGGATTTTGATATCAAATTTCATCCATCGTTCTAAAGTTATAGTGCACGGTTTTACTTCTGTAATATTATTTAAAGCCACTTTCTGATATTAAAAACGACCTCAAATTGCTTTTTAATTATTTTAATTAATATATTTTATTATATATAAATTTAATTAAGTCGGGAGGTCGGAAATCACAATGAAAAACGTAATTTCTTAAGAATGTTGAAAAATATACGGCCAGCTAGTTTTCACCCTACTATAAAGTCTTCGGTTCCCGAGACTTATGAGGAACGGGAAATCCCGGGAAATCCAACACCAGCTGTTCTCAAAATTATCCAGCTGTGTACACAGTCACTTATTAGTGTCAGATTTCGCAGAAATGCGAGACAATGAAAGTTAAATTTGAAGCTTTCTTTTCAAAATTAACGCATTTCTTTCGTTTTTTTCAGTTTTAAGTATTATTTACGTTTAATTAAAAATTTTACAAAAATGGGCGAGTAAAAAGGGGTTAAAGAAGTTCGTTAAGAGATTAAAGCTGAAGATATTTTTCCGACCCGAAATGACTTACGAAATTTTAATTTTACAAAAAATAAACAATTACATGTTATTTTCAGTAACAGATTATAAAATTTTAGATCTTTTTTTATATCAACTCTTATTTTGTATGTTATAAATAAACAAACATCGAAGCGCCGTAATTAAGTAAAAATTAAATTTTGTTTTCGTGTATTCACACATAAAATTATTACAAGTTTACAATACGAACGAAAGAAAAAAAAGCCTTTAACTGATAAGTTATTAGTTAAAGGCCTACCTCGAGCGTCGAGACGCTTTGCTTGAGACTATTCTATGACGAGTGGCATCACGTGGTTCCTCGCCGCTTTCAAGGGAAAGGAGTGTATAAGCAGTATAACGTAACACTGTCGTACCTATATATTTATTCTGAACATGAATTCTCCTGCTTTGTAGACCGATAAATAATAAATTAGTCAAATAAGTGAATTTCACTGTGAATTTAGTACTTTTATGTGAAACTTGTAATTATTGAACAAAAAACGTTTATAGAGTGCTGCTTTAACACGTATTAAATCCATTGTTTTAAATAAAACAATTTTATTGTGTGTATAATGTCTATTAAATATGCTACTTCAAAATAGAATTGAAAAAAAAAACACTTAACGATCTTAATGTAAATAATTACCATCAAACTATATTGTAAAATTATTGGCATGAAATTAATCTTAATCAAATCTTTGTACAAAATGTAATTAATTAACTCATTCCTTTATTTGCCTTAAACAAATAAATAGCACTTTTACATTTTAGAACTCAACGACCCACCTATTAGTTAATGAAACTGAAAGATCCGCGATTTACATGTCGAGAAACACTGAACTACTCGAATTAAATCTTGTAGAAAAAATTAGTATTAATAATCGGTATATTAAAAATTGAACACAGCTTATTAACTCAAACTTTAAAAATCGAAAAGAATTTCACCAAGAAAAAGGAAATTTTTAGCTACTTAAACCCTTTGAACCCTAAAAGTGGAAGAGTGTATTTCTCGAGTTCGAACATTGTAAACAGGCGGTTGTTTACACAAGGAAATAAGCTCTTTGAGAAGTTTTGTTTAGTCATTAAGACAATGGAAACTTTTGTTAATTAAATACTTTTAGTTTAAATATCTTATAAAATTTATATATGAAAATTCAGTAAGAGTATGTTCATTTGAAGCGAACATATGTGATAAAATAAATACAAATAACAGACAGAAAATCGACTTATGTCATTTATCACGTCAATATTTAGGTTTGCGATAGCAGCACAGTATCGCTTTTTTGTTAATTTTTTTATAAGAGAGACAGATACGATAGTTAATTGCAAAACAGGTAAAATGATTTTGAGCCCACACATCTAGAATCGCTATAAACAGAAAACAATACAAGTACTTACCCACTCTGCACCTCTTGATCCGCCATTTCTTCGGCTCTTTTCCGCACTAAACTCTCGAGTTGACGTCGAAGAACGGAGACAACAGTAGAAATAAATCCTCACGGTAATTGGATGTAGATGCCCCATGACTTTGACGTCACCGCCTCTCCGCAGGAGCACTTAATTTTTTAATTGCATTACTTGTACATTATGTATATCCGACAATAAAACTGGCTTTATAGGTGAAATTTTTGTGATCTCACATACACGTTTCTAAGAAATTAGCATATAACTAAGTGGGCCATTATGTGCTTACGAGTAACAGCATGACGTTGAAGTAACTTCACAATCAAAGCTTTTATATTTTACATCGTGGGCCATGTGGCCGGTAGTGTGGTGTGGTGTGGTCTGAGAGTGTTAGTTTCGTATTGACACAGTTGTTGTTTCGAGTCTCGTTGGAGTAAATTTCGTTTCGTTTTACACTATAATTTTTGAATTTGTTATTTGTTGACGATATTTATATTAATAAAAAATCTCTTTGCTATGGCGTCTCATTTGAGAATTGAAACTGTATTTGTAAGCGATTTTTTGTAAATAATAATCGCAGTTATATGGTTTCTCTCCCGTATGAATTCGACTACGCCTTAATAGATTGATCTTTTGTGTAAATTTCTGTTTGCAATAGTTGCAGGTAGAATATTTTTCTCCGGAATAACTGCGGAAAATCTGGTTTTACCGCATAAAAAATTATAGAACGATTTTTCCTGTGCGAGTCCAGCTATAAATTACAAAGTGTGACTTCCAACAGAATTTTTTGTCACAATTTTCACAGAAAAACTTCCTCTTCTTCGGACTTTAATACAGAAAATCTATGAAATACAAAATACAAAATATGAAATACAAAATAAAATACAAAAATATGAAAAACAAAATTCTAAACTTCTAGGTTAACGTACAAAGTAATTCGTTTATATTAAATTATAAAAAAATGCAGAAAAAGTTACTTCTGCATAGCTTGGAAGTAATTACTTCACAATATCAAATTCATTTTTTTGAAATGTAAATATTTACTTCCTTCTTCAAAACTTGTCATTTTTAAGGGAATTCTCGAAGAAAAATGCTAGCTGCCTCCACGATACATCTTAAAGAAAAAATGTAGAAATTAGACATTGAGAAGTAATAATTAACTGTAGCATTAACTTACAATTTAGTGATATTTTAAAAACTTTACAATTGTTAACACGAAGAAATTTTAAATGTACAAACGATATTTGGCACTACTTAAGACCAGTGTTGAAAAATCTGAAAAATAAATGAGATGTAGTTATTAATACATCTTTTACTGATTGAAAACTAAGTGATGTCACTCTCAGAGTATTTTTGAGTATATACGAATTGCATATTTTTTGTTTAATATAAAACGAGTCTTACGATACAGCCAAAACATTAATCTGAACCTTTCAGTTATTTTGTGAGGACGAGGTATGGAATATAAAGAAACTTTTGTTTAACTCCTACTTTATATTTAGTAAATATTTAGTAAATTAAATAAATTTCTTTATATATTCACTGCGTTAGCGATAAAAATAAAAAACATATCTTATGTAATTCCGATGATAAACGAATATTTACTTTGGAACATTCAACGTGAAACGGTTCTAGGAAATACGAAATTGAAACAGTTAATTAGTGCAGACTTAGTACCAAATATTACTGATTCTTTACTAAGAAAATTGCGTATAGCAATATTTTTAGTGTTTTAACGATATATTTTAATATAATTTTATGTAAAGGTTCCTTTTCACCAGATACTGGTGAAAAGGAACCTAGACATAAGGTATTTGAAGCTATGCCGTCTAAATTATATAAGAAGGCAATTCTAGCTTTTGTTAGGGCTAGGGATAAGCTGAGATTCCTTACGATGTAAAAAAATAGATGGGTGTTCCCTATGTTTATTTAACAAATACGTCTACCTGTTGGATGTGAATCATTGTTAGCTTAGAATATTATGTTTACAGAAGGCAATACGCACAACATGCAAAATGGTGTTTTCTATACTCAATTGCGTAATTAATGTTCCCTTCTGTGTAAAAGTTTAATGATTCGCGCGTTATGCAAGTTGACGCTTATGCCCGAGGTCGAAGCATAAGTAGATAGGGCAGTGGTGCATCTGTTATATTCAATGTCATATTTGTGTTCGCGTATACGCTTATCTAGAGAGCGTATCGAAGAGCCAATATATACAAGGTCCCTTTGAAATCTATGGTCCCTTAGTGGGACAGAATATACCCGTGGAACAGATCTCTTGTCTATGTCGTCTTTGCAGCTGCGCATAATGTCATAAATAATAAATAGTACTACGCCTCCTATATGCAATCCTCTTGTTTGTACATGCAGCAATTTCTCTGTAAATCGGATCAAGAGGATTGCACAACGGCTTTTCGAATATCGGAACGTTTGACCTGAACAGGGCCGAAGAATACTGTCGAAAACATTTGTTTTACAAATAAAAATTTTACTGGTCTCTCAAAGGTTTATTGTTAATCTATTTTTAATATAATTTTAATCTTTATAATTAATGTCAGATTTTCAGGATCTTTGATATTCAAATAGCCTCAAACAGTACGTATCTATTGATATATATATATATATAATCGAAACGAGTTGATGATAATAATAATAATAAGCGCAGAGCCCAAACGGTTAGGAGTTAAAAGTTAAAATTTGGTACACCGGGCACGTGAGAAAAACACACACTAAGAAGGGATTTCTCGAAATTCACCCCCGGGGGGAGAGAGACAGGATTAAGGTTTGACAATGAAAGTGTTAAGTAACAATTGCAGTGTTAACAATGAAAATGACAACAATGGAAGTGTCAACAATGGAAAAGTTACGTAAAAATGAAATTGTTAAGAGAAGGCGCGTGCAAGACGCAGATGCAGTTTTTTTTTTTCGTTTTTGCGAGAAATCGAACATATTTTTAGACCCATCTAAAAATTTTCTAAATAGTCCGGAAACAGGGGGACCAATTCTTGCATTCTGTAAAAACGTTTAAGGTTGACTATAACGTAATAATCATAATCTTCGCTATCGTTACTTTTTGCCCGAGCAACGCCGGGCCTACCTGTTGTTTACCAATAATTTAGAAGGAATAATTACTGATTTAAATTTCATATGCTTGCATTTTTTATAAATTCGATTACATAAAAGACACATCTCTTGACGAGTTGATACAGAGTTATCAGTGTTGTATAGTTATCAATTACGTCTAATAATATTGATTATTCACACGACCGTCGTAGCGAATTTTCTGCTTTTCGTAAATACTGTATTAGATAGAAAGATAACTCAATATCAATGCATTTACTATTGACTCTTCTAAAGCACTTTCTTTGTACATATTCTTAACTAATAAACTGTAAAGATTGCCATCGATTAACCTTACGAAGAACAGAATATTCACCATCCAGGAAATGATCTCTACGAAATGCGTGTTCATTCGAATTAACACTGAAAATGTAAAGTATATCTTCTGTTTCTTGTTATTTAATATACAGGAACACGGATTAATCATGTACTGTACAATCCGAACGGCGCGATAAATTTCATCGGCGCATCTAACAAATAAGCTATACAAACTGTGTTATAGATCGAGATTGATTAATATACTATTAAAGATTTCTGAATTTCTGTTTATAATAAATATGTCAATTAATTAATAGGTTAATTTCGTATTTTGTTTAACACAGTTACTCTCTTCGTTTACTATTCGCTTTATATTCTCAATGTGATTTTACTACTAATAAACGTATTAAAACTGCACCCTCCAACGTGATAGAAATATTGTAAACTTTAAAAGTTACTGCAATACGTCGATATTGCGTCACAGATGATGTTATGTAAATCCCCTTAATGCCTACTGTGCGAAAAGTGTTAAAAATTGAAAAGAAATTTCGAATATGTTCATATTATTTTTTTAATTATTAATTAAATTTTTATCAAACGGAAAATTTTTAAACAATTTATCGAAATAAAACTTGATATAGAAAAATAATTTCAAGTTTTTAAATTTTTAGATTTTGTGTCTCGAATTTATGTGGGCGAAGCAATATACAAATTTTTTTAAAAGTACAAGTAAACCATGATGTAAAAATAATCACTTCTTTCTTCAATGATCTCATCTCTAATCAACTTCTTTTCAAATAACACTCCCTCAGATTGCTCTGGAGTTTCAAAAGTGTCGAGTGATTGTAAAGGCAAACTTATGTTGTGTTTTCGCCATTGTTCATCAGTAAAAACTGCAGACAGACGACAAGTCGAATTTTTACCAACGAATATTGGTTCAAATAACTCTGCTTTTCCTTGCAACTTGCAGTAAGTTTCATCATGGAAAACACCGCTTTCTACCGAATTTATGTAGCCATAGATATGCACTGTAATGAAAGCCACGTAACTCTTAAAAGTCATGGGAAGATTGAGATCAGAGACAAAACAATCTTCTTTAACAAATATCTCAGTGCTGAAAAATGGAAATGGTTTCTTGCTGTCTGATACGAGAGAGGTTCTTTTTTATGATTATGTTACCGCTAAAGCTCGAAATCCGTTAATGTGCACATTACCTAGCTAGTTTGCACATTAACTAAAATAAGATAAAAGCCATCCTCTGTTTTACTAAAAACCACAGCTAAAATTGAACGTGCATCAGTTTTTGCTCCGTCTTCTTCGGGTACTTTAATTCTCTCAGCGAAACCTTCATCGTCGTTTGGGTGCTTTGCATCAGAAACTGCTAACGTTTTCTTTTTTTGCTTTTCTAAACATTTCTTGGCTTTATCACTCTGTATTTTCTGATCCATATTCTTTTTACAGATGATGCACAATACATTCTTACCATACCCTTCCTCTTTAGGATCTACTTTACCACAAACTGCGTGAACAAACATATCACACGATTTACACTTGTGAGCACTTGATGCTGCTTTTGAGCAAACAATACAGACTATGTCTTGTATAGTGCTCTTTACAGGCTCTGTACGAAACTGTGATGGCGATTCCTCTGAGGTTGAAAGTAACTCAGTGATGACTTCTTCAACTTGCAGATGTAATTCCTTGGAGGTACAGGGTAACTACATATTCTTCGTGACTGTATTATCAATCAACGGTATAGAAAGCAGTTTAAAATTATTATTGATAAATTCTCGTCTTTCTATAGGTGATTCTGTAGAAGCAGGAGATAACGGAATGTCCTCTTGAGTAAGATTTGACTGTGATCTCATAATCAGTCTCTTGTGATACTTCTAATTTTTCCACTTTTCCAGTCTTTTTCTATTATACCTCAAAGTGTATTACATTCGATAACAACTGAAGAAGACCTTG